GAGTCTGGTGGTGGTGGGCGGGCCCATGGTTCCTGGCAGGGAGGCCCCACCCCCCAGTGGGCGTGGTCCCAGCCCTGCTATATCTGGCTGCCCAGGTGCGGGCGGGCTCAGACGGGGCCGGGCATGGCCGAGGGGCAGGGCGCGGTGGCGGGGGGCGACCCCCCGGACAAGGTGAAGCGGCCCATGAATGCCTTCATGGTGTGGTCCAGCGGGCAGCGCCGGCGCCTGGCGCAGGAGCACCCCAAGATGCACAACTCGGAGATCTCCAAGCGCCTGGGGGCCGCCTGGCGCCGCCTGCCCGAGGCCGAGAAACGCCCCTTCGTGGAGGAAGCCAAGCGGCTCCGGGCCCGGCACATGCGGGACTATCCTGACTACAAGTACCGACCCCGGCGCAAGGGCCGGGCCCCCGCCAAGGAGCTGCCGCCGGGGGGCCGCCCGCCCCCCCAGCTGCCCGCCGCCCAGGCCTGGGGCTACGGCGAGCCCCTGGGCTACCAGCCGGCCCGCTACCCGCCGTGCCCGGCTGCCGCGGGATACGGGAATGCAGCCGGAGGGTACAGGTGGGTCCCGCCCGCGCCTCCCGTCCCCTCGGGTGAATGGGGGACCCCCAACGGTGCCCCCTTACTGGGGAAATGGGGGGGGATTAGCAAGGGTGGGGGGCTGCTACATTCCCTCTTTCCCCAGGCCAGGCATGGTTGAAATTAGGGCTGGCTGAGGGGTCCGTGTATAACCAACCCCAGAGGTGGCCGCATCTCAGCGCTGGGCAAGGGATCCCTGTATAACCAGCCACCCCGCCCCAGAGGTGAGCACATCTCAGCACTGGGCGAGGGGTAACCGGCCACCCCGCCCCAGAGGTGAGCACAGGGGGGGAACATACACCAGGTTCAGGTGCTGGTTGGGACCAAGTGGGCACCAGCCCCAGAATTTGCATGTTAACTATTAACAAGGTGAGTCAGTGCCAGCTGCTGAGGGCATGATGGGGCACCAGTCCTTTGGTATGTGAACCCAGGAGTCCTGGCTCCCAGCCCCCCCTGCTCTAACCACCAGCCCCCACTCCCCTCCCAGAGCCGGGGAGAGAACCCGGGAGTCCTGGCTCCCTGGTGTGCCAGGATATGCCCACCCCCGCCCAGGGCCCTAGATCTTTGGGTCCCGGCCAGGAGCAGGGTGGGGTTGGGTGCCAGGCAGCACTTGCCCTGCGGTTGGTATTCGCCATGCCCTGAGCGAAGGGTCATGACCCGGCCAGGCCTCGTCCAATCCCTGAGCTGGCTCCTCACCGCGGTGGTGTCTGGGTGCAGGAGCCAGTGCCCAGGGGAGGGGAAACCGAGGCACAAGTCACAGACCCCAGGAGTCCTGACTCCCAGCATCCCCTGCTCTAACCACTCCATCGCTCACTGACTGAGAAGGGGAGGCCAGCAGGCGCCCAGGACTCTGGGTTTCTCTGGAGGGGAAGGTGGGTGCCAGGACGCCTGGGTTCCATCCCCGCCTGCGGGAGGGGGTGGGCAGGTCGGGGCAGGCCACGGGGGAGCCGCTCACGCCCAGAACCGGATTAACAGGCCAGCTGAGGAATGCGGCCCCGGCTCACCCAGCCCTGGGGGGGGGGGAACTCTTCCTGCAGCTGCAGGGTGGCCCCCCCCATAACATTGCCCAGAGCTGGCAGAGAACCCAGGTGGCCGGGCTCCCAGCCCTCTCAGAGGGGAGTGGGGGCTGGTGGGTTAGAGCAGGGGGGGGGCCGGGAGCCCGGACTCCTGGGTTCTCTCCCGGACTCTGGGAGGGGAGTGGGGGCTGGTGGGGGGGGGCCGGGAGCCCAAACTCCTGGGTTCTCTCCTCTCCTCTCATTCTGCAGCTGTAATTATCCGGCTTGTTAACCCCTCTTCTCTTCCCCCCCGACCCCCCCAGCAGCCTGTCCTACGGCCCCCCGGCTCCGATGCCCTACAAGCAAGACCCCGCCCCCCACCCGCCGGGGGTGCTGCCGCCCGACTTCCGCGACATGATGGCCGCCTACGGGCTGCAGGCCTGCGACGTGGGCGAGGGCTTCCCGCCGCTGCCCTACGAGCCCCCCGGGCCGGCGCCGCTGACGCCCCTCTAGCCCGTGGCGGGCCGGGACCGAGGGGGGACGGGGACGCTGGGTTTTTATACAGAAAGAAGAAAACCCTCGAAGAGGAACTAAGTTTGGGGGGATGTGGGGGGGAGCTCCCTGCGACTCCAGCCCCAGCAGTGGGGGCTGTGGGGGCAGAGTGCAGACTCTTCCCCTCCCCCAGCGCCCCCTCTCCCCCTCTACACTTTAAAATCACCCCCTTTGTTAACTCTTCGCTGGCGGCCATCCCCCCCAACTCAGTTCACCTAGCACTAGAGCTGGGAAGGGGGGAGGGAGTGGGGGGGGGCCTGGAAAAGGGGGTGCAGGTGGAGGGACAGCCTGGAGCAGTGGGGGATTGTGCACCCCAGTGAAGGGGGGGGCTGTCTTAATGCTGTTTGTCAACGTATCTTGTAAAGAGAATAAACCTGGTTCCTAGAGAGGGCCCTGACCCCAGAGCGTTACTGGGGGGGAAGGGGGCAAAGGAGAGAGGAGATGTTGGGGGAGGGGGTAGGAAACAGATCAAACCACCCACCCCCCGCCAAAAAAATGCTGCGGGGTTTGACCTCCGAGAGCGAGAAAGACAAAGGAGGAAACGAAAATGCCCCTCACTCCTGACCCACAGCCCCTGCCCCCCACCCGCAGCCCCTCAGGTCAGGAAAGGTCCCAGCTACTCAGAAAGGAGCTAAAGAGTTAACCCCGCATGTGCCAGGGAATGGGGGGTGGGACAGGATGGGGCCGTTGCCCCGGTAACGGTCTTCTGTCCTAGCTACAACAACACCAGTGCCTTCCTTGTCACCCCACCCAGTTGCCATGGTAACCAGGGAAGGGCCCGACCCCCGCCTGTTCTGACATGAAGGGGTGAATCACGTAGGGAAACCTGCTGGGGGGGCCCGCAGGATGAGCCCAGCCCCCGCTCCATCCCCTCCCAGAGCCGGGGACCCAGGAGTCCTGGCTCCCAGCCCCCCTGCTCTAACCCACCAGCCCCCCCCTCCCCTCCCAGAGCGAGGGAGAGAACCCAGGGCGGTTGGCGTGATTAGCACCGAGCTCGTTAGCTGCCAGGGGGCAGGGGAGGAGGGGCTGGGGGTTTCCATGCCTGCCCCCCCCCCATCCGAATTCAACCTTCCGTCCTTCCGCACCCTGCAGCAGGGAGTCCCAGAGATCCCCCCCAGGATGGGCACAGCCGGGAGCTCCTGGCCAATCAGTGTTTAATTACCTCACAGGGGGGAGGGGCGGTTTACAGACCTGCTCCCCCCTCCCTGCCGGAGCCCAGCTGGGGAGGGTGGGGCAGACCGGGATGAGTGGGTTCCCCTCTAGGGGGCGCCGGTGGAGCCAGACGGGGGCCCTGCCCCCCCCTCGATACAGCTCAGACGGCAGCGCGGGGCGGGGGGCAGCCCCCACTCCCCCTATGGGGACCCCCGGGCAGGCCGCGGTCAGAGTCCGGGGGGGGTCCCCTCTATTCCCGCTTCTTCCCGGCCCCCGCGCCGGCCAGCACGTGCCAGTAATAGAGGAGCTGGCCCGCGATGATGCCGTTGCAGATGGAGGAGACGACGTAGGTCAGAGCCATCAGGGGGTCGCCCGTCTCCTGGAGGGGAACAGACGGAGGGGGGTGAGGGGGGCGGGCAATGGGGCTGGGGGCCTGTCCCCTCTAGGGGGCGCCGGCTCCCATCCAGCCCCAGGGCGGGGTCAGGGGCCCGGAGACTGTGCCCTCTAGGGATCCCCTGTGCCCAGGAGCATGATGGGTACATGCTCAGAGGGATTGTGGGAGGCAACACCCCCTCCCCAATGCCCTGTGACCCCCAAGCTCGTGCCCCCCGGCTACCTGGATGGAGGTGAAGATCCGGGCCAGCGAGCCGCCGAGGAGCAGGAAGACAGTGACAGCCGACAGCTGCCCCGTGTGCCCGTTGCGGTAGTTGGTGGCCGCCTGGAGTAGCTGGGGGGATGGGGGGGAAGAGACGAGACCCCCCCAGATCAGTAGCTTGGACAGATTTGCCCCCTCCCCATGCCCTGTGACCTCCAAGCCCTTTGGCGGGGGTAAGGGGCTGGTCCACATCCATTATGGCATGAATCCTGCTGCCCCCCCAAAATATACTCAGCCCCCCACCACTAGTGTGCCCCCCTGAGCCACAGCTCCCTGCATGCAGGGGCAGGTGGGAGCCGGCGCCCCCTAGAGGGGACAGGCCCCTGCCCCATACCCTGCCCCCCTGAGCCAGCCAGTCCCCGCCCCGGGGCCGGGTGGGAGCCGGCGCCCACTAGAGGGGACAGGCCCCTTACCCTGCTGATGACGATGGCGGGCACGTTGGTGGCTTGCAGGAGGGTGACCACGGGCCGGGGGGCCAGAGGGGAGAGCAGCAGGCAGAGCAGAGCGAAATACAGCACCAGGAAGGAGACACCTGGGCGGGGGGGAGAGACGGGAGAGGG